ATTGCAGTACTAATTATTGAATGTTCAATCTTATGCCAAGTGGTTTCGATACTTTCATTAGTATCACTATTGAGTGGTGTGTTGTGTAGACTAAGATTATGAGATAGAAGATCTAAGAATTCAGTCCATTTGTTAGTCGACATAGCTTTATAATTGAAAATTCTGCGACTGATTCCAGTATGATAATGTGGAAGTTTGCTATATGTATTAGTAAAAGTCCAGGTAGATATAAGAATAGAGTGATCACTAAATGTTGAAGTGTTGCTATCATCAAGTTTGTAGAAGAGAAAAAATTGAATATTAAATGAGTTAGTCCAAATATAGTCAATGCGGCTACGACTGGTGTTGTTTGACCATGTGTAGTGCTTGTTGTCAACATATGCACCAAGGTCAAACATATTAAAGTAGTGTAGATAATTAATAAGTCGGAATTTAGATGATGAGCTAAAGATGCTATCGTGTGTATTGAAGTCTCCAAGTATTATTGGATGAAGGTTATGTTGATAGGCTTGTTGAATCCATATAATGATAGTATTTTGTGTTTTGTTGCGTTTTTGCATATCAGTTGAGGAGAGATAGACAACTATGATTCGAAGTTTAATTTCACTTTTGAAAAAAAGGTCCAAAGCATTTGCACTACCAGGGTGTGTTTGACAGTTGTGTATATGAGGTTGTAGATTTTACGGATCATAATAGCAGCACCTTCTGCTAAGCTTTTTGAGTTAGCCCAGAAATAAGTAAATAAATTTTTATTATAAAAGTGAAGGTTAGTGTTGTTAGAGATTTTGGTTTCAGTAATACAGACAATGTGGATATTATTGTGAAGACAATAATTCTGCCAGGCTTCTCTTTTAGTTACTGTATTAAAACCTATAATATTATGAGTACAAATATTTAAATGAAGGTAGTGAAAAGGTTGTGTTAATGTAGGTACTTGTGGTAGAGTATGGTTATCAAGAAAATCTAGATTATCTTGATTGTTAGTAGATATGTATGGTGTTGATTCTTGTATGTTGTTTTTAGAGATAAAGATTTCTTGTATTTCATGTGATAGGCTATTGTGAAGTGATATAGATAAGGATAGAGGTAAAGGGTATAATAAAGCTTCTAAAATATCTATTGGGTTAAATAGGCTTTGTGGTGATGTCTGTGTTGTCTTTATCAGTAAGTTTAAGTATCTAGTTATA